TCACACTCTGGGGCCCATACTACTATCTTGGGGAGGTTTTTACACGTTCCTATATGGCACTTACTGGGCTTTAGGGTCAGTCCGGACTCCCTAATCCGGTCTATTACGGCTCCTATGTGGGTCAGGTGTTCGGGCAGGAGCTGCTAAAAATGTCTATACCATCCAAGTAGGTGTGTATCAGTGTGTATCAGGGATCCTTAGGACAGGTGTCAATCCATATCTGCCAAGTGACCCGATGTTGGGGTAACATTCCCTATTCTGCTCTGTGACATCAGTGTGTATCAGGGATCCCTTAGGACAGGTGTCCAATCCATATCTGCCAAGTGACCTCGTTGGGGTAACATTCCTATTCTGCTCTGTGTCAGTGTGTATCAGGGTCCCTTAGGACAGGTGTCAATCCATATCTGCCAAGTGACCCTATGTAGGGGTAACAGTCCCTATTCTGCTCTGTGTCAGTGTGTATCAGGGACCCTTAGGACAGGTGTCCATCCATATCACCAAAGTATTGACCTATGTTGGGAGTAACATTCCTATTCTGCTCTGTGTCCAGTGTGTATCAGGGATCCCTTAGGACAGGTGTCAATCCATATCCTACTTAAGTGACCCTATGTTGGGGTAACATTCCCTATTCTCTCTGTCTCAGTGTATCAGGGAACCTTAGGACAGGTGTCAATCCATATCTGCCAAGTGACCCGATGTAGGGGGAACAGTCCCTATTCTGCTCTGTGTCAGTGTGTATCAGGGATCCTTAGGACAGGTGTCAATCCATATCTGGCAAGTGACCCTATGTAGGGGGACCAGTCCCTATTCTGCTCTGTGTCCGTGTGCATCAGGGGCTCTGAGGACAGGTGTCAATCCATATGTCAAGGTGTCAATATGTCATATGTCGGGTGTCAATCCATATTGATTGTGATTTAGGAATGTTAGGTGATTTCTGCCCTTTATGGATTAAAACCAGACTCTGTATCAACTGTGTAATTTTCCATGGGAGTTTTGCCATGGATCCCCCTCCGGCATGCCACAGTCCGGGTGTTAGTCCCCTTGAAACAACTTTTCCATCCCTATTGTGGCCAGAAAGAGTCCCTGTGTGTTTTAAAATTCGCCTCCCCATTGAAGTCAATGGCGTTTCGGGCGGTTCGCCGGTTCGCGAACATTTGCGGAAGTTCGCGTTCGCGACATCACTAGTCCCCATGCAAGGGGACATCCCACAGGGTGGGACACAGTACAACCAATCATTACAGGGGAACCGTAAAACACACCCACAATTACATCACAATCCCTCCTCTTTGTCCTGGAGATAATTGTGAAGTAATCAAATTATCTCCAAGGACAGAGGCAAAACTCCATTAACCACATGGCAGACAAAGGACAATAAAAGACATAAAATTACATACAGTTACATTTATTCCATAAAACATAGACATTCTTCATATCCCCAGATAGCTTAGATCTGAGTGCACATTACTACCAAATGGCGCTCAGATCCCATACATACAGTTCAATCGCCATGGAGCCAAAGTCTTTCATACAGTCTTTCAGTATACGGCTGGGCTCCACGGCATAGCTATCTGGGGTAGCATGGCTTTAACAGTCCGCAGAAAGTCACGAATAAACCTTTCTGCCACTAAAATAAAAGTTTAAAATGCAGGACCATAGTCTAAAGGGAGCAGGCAAGCAACCAGGCTTCTCCAGTGTACAGTGGCGAGGTTGGTTTCGCCACAGCTTCCAATGAAGGTAAATAGCCAGTCCGGATGTGAATTATAGATATTATTTATTAAATCCAAAATTTTAAAAGTATACTTAATTATGCAAAAAAAAAAAAAAAATGGGATAAAGTCCACAGGGGAATCTTCCTTGATAAAAACGCGTTTCAGCCTGCAACAGGTGAACACAAAGATACGTTTGTAACGTCTTTATAAATTTGCACAAAAAAGTTTTTTCTTATAAGTACACTAAGCACTTTAAAAATATTTTATATCACATGTTTTAATGTTTTTAAGAGTACACTGTTATTTACATATTTTGCATGAGTACATAAAAGAGTGCTTTATGAAGATTGATAAAGGTAACTGGACACTATAAGAGCAACATTTTGCACATTGGCTGTTTATTTAATCTTCAAATTGTTTAAGCGCTACACTACAATTTCTCTATTTTTGTACGTTTGTAAGTTTTTAAAGGCTTTACACTTATAAAGCCTTGCCCCGCCCTGCAATTAGTCTAAGAGCACTCTGATTGGTGGGTTTAAGCCATCCAATCAGAGTGCTCTGACAGGTAAATTAAGAGACTGACAGGTAAGTCTCTACATTTACCTGTCACAGCACTCTGATTGGTTGGTTTGAAATCCACCAATCAGAGTGCTCTGTGTCATTTTACACAGCATGGGAAAGTTCTTTGAAATTTTCCCACGCTGTGTAATTTGACTCATAACACTCTGATTGGTGAATTAAGTAACCAATCAGAGTGTTATGAGTGGTTGGATAGCTTAAACCCACCAATCAGAGTGCTCTGAGCCTAATTGCAGATTTAGATTTATAAGCCTTCTCCCGCCCTGCAGAGCTTAGTCTGCGCGGAGCCCTCTATTAGTATTTAGGGCCCCCACCCACCGTTTAGGGGTGGGGGCCAGGGGGGAGGACCTTAGGTCCCCCCCCTTATTCTTGTTTAGGGCCCCCACCCACCGCTCAGGGGTGGGGGCCAAGGGGGAGGACATAAGTTCCCCCTTATTCTAGTTTAGGGCCCACACCCACCGCTCAGGGGTGGGGGACGGGGGGAGGACAATAGGTCCCCCTCTATTTGTATTTAGGGCCCCCACCTACCGTTTAGGGGCGGGGGCCAGGGGGGAGGACATTAGGTACCCCTCCTTATTCCAATTTAGGGCCCCCATCTGCAGCTCAGGGGTGGGTGCCAGGGGGGAGGACAATAGGTCCCCCCCATCATTTTACTTTAGGGCCCCCACCTGCCGCTCAGGGGTGGGGGCCAGGGGGGAGGACATTAGTTCCCCCCCTTATTCTTGTTTAGGGTCCCCACTCATGGGTGGGGGCCAGGGGGAGGACATAATGTCCCCCGCTATTCTAGTTTAGGGCCCCCACCCGCAGCTCAGGGTTGGGGGTCAGGGGGGAGGACATTAGGTCCCCCCCTTATTAGTATTTAGGACCCCCACCCGCCGCTCAGGGGTGGGGGCCAGGGGGGAGGACATTAGGTACCCCTCCTTATTCCAATTTAGGGCCCCCATCTGCAGTTCAGGGGTGGGTGCCAGGGGGGAGGACAATAGGTCCCCCCCATCATTTTACTTTAGGGCCCCCACCTGCCACTCAAGGGTGGGGCCGGGGGGGCAATAGGTCCCCCCTTTATTTTAGGGAGGGGGGACCCTATTTTTTTTTTTAAACAGTGAGCAGCCACAGGCACATAGCGAGTAGGGGCAAAATTTACTAATACTAAGTAATTTTTACTTAGTATTAGTACATTTGGCTGAAAGACCAATTTTGGTCTTTCAGCCTTTTGGTAGATAACTCCCTAATACCGTGGGAATTAGGTAGTTATCTACTAAGCAGCTGCAATAGAAGTCCCGAGGTGCCGACGTCCCGAAATTCCGAAGTGTCGAAGTGCCAAAGTTGCCGAATTTCCAAAGTGTCGAAGTGCCGAAGTGCTGAAGTTCTGAAGTGCTGAAGTGCCGAAGTTCCGAAGTTGCAGAAGTTCCGAAGTCTTGAAGTGACGAATTTAATGTAAATTTAGGAAAATGGAGCATCTCATCTCAAATAATGGTTAACATAAGTTATAGGTAATTTTCAGTGTTTTATTAATGTTGTAAATTCTAGAGAAATTCCATTTTCCCTTTTAGTCCAAATGGTAAAGTGCTTGGGACAACATTTTATTGTACAGATGATCTTACAGGTTATTTCCACTATGTGGATGCTATACTGTATTCATTGTTACTATTGTTAATTATAACGCATTATTATGTTATAGTTACATCAGATTATCCATTTATTATTTTAAGTTATAATACAGACTAGAAGAGGAAATGGACAGTGGTAACATGATAGAAACATCAAAATATATCAAGAATATCAATAAAGTATATCAGTGTGTATGTTCTACAGACAAAAGCTCTATCTGACCAGAACCAGATGATGATGTTTTTATTTATGTTAGCTTTTTACTTTCATTTGTGGCACATGGGAGAATTTTTTTGTGTGACTTGGATTAAGTAATTTATACATTTATGCACTGCAAAAAAATGTGCTTTGTTCTATTTGATATGTATATTTTTTTCACAAATTATTTTCCATTTTTCATTGAAATATGGGGTTAGGGAAGTTGTGTCAGGCTGGGATTCAATATACTGTAGGGGCTAATAGATTTTGCCGATGCACTCTACCTGAAGAGACTACTTTGCTTTATTTTACTATCTGGAGTTCTGTCGTACATGGGGTATTTTGTGGGTTTATTTTCTCACCCATGCCTGGTAGATCTGGGATTTAACAGTTAGGCTGCCTCGAAGCAGCAGTGGAGGGATGTTCCTTTAGTGAGATAGGTTCTCAAGTTTCTCTGGAGTTATTGAGTGTGCATTTTTAACCTACTACTTTCCTGCCTTGTTTTTGGAGGGATTTGAATGTTAGGCTGCCCTGAAGCAGCAGTAGGGGATACGCTGAAAGTTGGTTAGGTGTTACACCTGCTACTTATCGTGGGAGTGCTTGGCCTCACTAGATATAGTATCCCTTTGCTGTTGATACTTTCTATTCACACTAGTGAAAGGATACTTTGTTGACAGCCCTCTCATACCACTTATCGGGAATAATGTCTCTAGTTAATAAGAGTCACTACTAACCTATAGCACCGAAAGAAAGTAGAAAGCATATTTGAAACTATATTAGCTTTCTACTATACTCAATAATAAACCTGTCTTGCTCTCTATTAGTGAGGCTGCGAACCGTTCGCAAACTTCCCGCGAACGGCTCACCGCGGTTCGCCACGAACCGTTCACGGCGAACTCCGGTCAGCTGACACATCCCAGCCAATCTCCAGCAGACCCTCCCTCCCAGACCCTCCCACCTCCTGGACAGCATCCATGTTGAAGGCAGCTGTCAACATGGATGCTGTCCAGGTGGTGGGAGGGTCTGGGAGGGAGGGTCTGCTGGAGATTGGCCGGGATGTATCAGCTGACTGGAGTCCGCCACAAACGGTTCGTGGCGAACCGTGGCGAGCCGTTCGCGGGAAGTTCGCGAACGGTTCGCGACATCACTACTCTCTATGTATATTAATTTTATGTACAGATATCCATTCACTAGGAACGAGCTCTATCAGTTATTAATGCATTATCGCTAACTCAATATTCCCTACATACTCTGTATATAATTTGCATTCACTGTTCGATCTTAATTAGACTGCTATATTTACCCTTGTGAGATACTCACGAGCACTACTAGCATATACAGTACTACCGTGGAACATATGCGTTTTTTTGATATTGATACGATACTGACAAATTAAATACTCAGTTTAAACCCTCTCTCCCCATGATTGAACTATCTATAATTTGAATGGTCCATGTGATTACTCAGGAATTTGTTGGATATTGAATCATGGATATAATTATTTAATTGATAGTCAGGACAGATCTAACCAGATTTTTAAAGGCGTGACACTTCTCACTTTCTCACTTTTTTGGTTTGTGGTGTTTTTATGCGTTTTTTTTTTTATTATTATTATTATTTTTTAGTCTTTTGGATTTAATAAAGGTTTTCTACCATTAATATGGAATTTTTATTCTGAGGAGGTTTCCCTTGAATGAGAGCGGGTTCCACCCACTATTTGTGAGTGGTTATCCCAATCGTTTTAATTTGTTAAATACATGTAATTGGGGTTATGCCCCAGGATTCCTCCTGTAACCAATAATAGGATTTGTTTTGCTGGCTTGTCCATCATCACAATTCCTTTCTTTTCTTTTTTTTATTATTTAAGTGTTTTATTAAATGTTGTAAATTCTAGAGAAATTCAATTTTCCCTTTTAGTCCAAATGGTAAAGTGCTTGGGACAACATTTTATTGTACAGATGATCTTACAGGTTATTTCCACTATGTGGATGCTATACTGTATTCATTGTTACTATTGTTTATTCTAACGCATTATTATGTTATACTTACATCAGATAATCCATTTATTATTTTAAATTATAATATAGACTAGAAGAGGAAATGGACAGTGGTAACATGATAGAAACATCAAAATATATCAAGAATATCAATAAAGTATATCAATGTGTATGTTCTACAGACAAAAGCTCTATCGGACCAGAACTAGGTGATGATGTTTTTATTTATGTTAGCTTTTTACTTTCATTTGTGGCACGTGGGAGAATTTTTTTGTGTGACTTGGATTAAGTAATTTATACATTTATGCACTGCAAAAAATGTTTTCTTTGAAATATGGGGTTAGGGAAGTTGTGTCAGGCTGGGATTCAATAAAGTGGGGAATAACCCCTGCTACAAGAATAGCACAAGAATGGAAGTAAATACTGATTTATTTAACCAGTTAAACAGTTTAGCTAATACATCACTTTCTTTTTTGCTGCTTTTGCTTTTCAGTGCTTTTTGGGCACCAAGATTTTGTTACTATGTTTTCTATGTTTGTGTAAATTTCATATAAAGTAACCCTTACACCAGGCCCGATCCTAGGTTCACTGACGCCTGGATGAAAGAATATATTGCGTGGCCATATTGCTAGCTCCTCCCCTTTACAAACATAACGATTCTAACCACACCCATTTTCTATAGAAACGCTCCACCTCTTCGGGCTCCCCAATTTCCCTAGGTAACATGTCACCCACTTCCTACAGTGCTGTAGTGAAGGGTATGGGCTGTAATCAAGAGGTTAGGAAATGTATTGAGGGATACGGGCTGTAGTAGGGGGTAGGGGCTGAAGTGGGGGGTTGGAGGCTGTTGTAGGTATAGGGGCTACATTTTGATTATAAGAGCTGTAGTAGGGAGTTTAGGGGCTGTAGTAGGGGGTTAGTGGCAGGTAGTGAGGGGACGGGCAAGAATTGGGGGGCACGGATGCTGTAGTGTGGGACAGGAGCTAAATATGGAGGGTAGGGACTGTAAGGGGTAGGGGGAAGGACATTGAGGCAGAACTGCAGGCATCATAATAATTTCAATAATATGAAGTTTTAAAGTGCCTACAGTGTCCCTTTAATATGAAGAAGAAAACCTGGAGTCAGGTTAATATAGTAATTTTTCATTAGGATTCAGGGTAAAAAGTGTTTTATATATAATAATGCATATATGATGAGATAAGGCCATACTTTAAAAGGAGGAAATAAGTCATAGTTGTTTACTATAATTTAAAATAAAAGTGCCATTATACATCTTATATGTACAATTATACATCTTCTGATGGATCTGTACTGGAGACTATCTTCCAAGATCACTAAATTTAAACAGCTGAAACTAACTTATAGCAAATTTTTGAGCTGCCAGTAACTTGTGAATTTGAACTGCGGGATAAAAGCTGCAGTGGGGGTAAGGGACTGTAGTAGGAGGGGTGTAGCAGGAGGGGCTGCTGTTTGATTATAAGGATGGTAATAAAGTGGCTAGGGGCTCTAGTGGGGGGATAGGAGCTACATTTGAAGGGCAGGGACTACAGTGGGAGATTGAAGCTGCTGTAGTGGGGTTTAGGTGTATGAGTCACAGTGACTATACCCTTTTTGGTAGTGAGGTGCATTGTTGTCCCTGGTATGGGTATGAGTGGCTGGGTGTAGTAAGGGGTTAGGGGGAGTGACAGAGCCACTATGGTCTCAGGGGTCGCAATTACAACATGGGCCCGCCACTGCAGGGGGCTCTGTCGCACGGTCGACACCTGTCACTGTGTCTCCCCCACATAACTTCTGGGCCGGTGCACTGCGCAACCGGCCTGGGGCCTAGGGTCACCTGAAGACTGGCAGAAGGGGAGCACACAACACAGTGCTCCCCTCCAGCCGGTCACTGTATGTAGTGTGGTTGAGCGGGTGCATGTGGCGAAAGTGACCTCGCCACTGGTTTTTGGAGGGGCCTGTTTGCCAGCCTCCTGTCCTGCTACTATGGCCCTGGGATGTATTGCCCTTTAAGGAACTGAGTTGGGCATACTGTATTTTATTATGCTGCTGCTGGCCCTTTAAGAACCATCTGGGGACATACTGTGGAGTTACTGGGTGACCACCATTTCATGTATCAGAGGCACATGGTGAGAACAATGGATGAAGCACATGGTGACAACAATGGATGGCGGCCATTTTAACTCACAGACACTGTTTTGACTTTTCTACAAGGTGCCATCTCGCCAGTATTTGGTGCACAAAGACATCGTTCAGTAGTTTTAAACTACAAAACAGGGGACACATTTAACAGTAATTTTTTTCATATAGCCTATATATGTTCTGCGGAATCTGCATTAAACCGTATCTCCAAACTACTGAACGGATGTGGGTGAATTTTGGATATGTGGTTCACCCAGAGCCCCCGGTTCTAATGATATATTATGTATTATATTATATATTATTATGGGGTTATTGCATGTTTTGGAGTCCCTGTGATATGTTTTATAATACTGTATTTTCCTGCCTCTGATAATTAAGTTAGTCTATTGTGTTGAGATAATTGTATCACAGGCAGAGGGGAGGATTTCTGATGTAATGAATGGGAGTGTTAGCTGTGGTTTAATGTGTTGATTGGTTGTTCTTCAAAACCCTGTGGGCAGTACTATGTTTGTAGAATGTGAATAAAAGAGGCTGTATGTGCCAGTACAGACAGTTCTTCTTCACCCTCAATCTAGAGTCCTGTCTCTTATTGGGGGAATTGCTATATCACTACAAGGGATTGCTATGCTCTGCATACTCCCTTAGCTAATCACTACTAAGCTCTTTTAAGAGCTTGTTCCTGCTTCACTCTCTTGGAGGAGAGGTTCACCCACTGGAACCTGGAGCCTTGTCGTAGGTCCAGGGTGGGTAGGAGACAACGAGACCCCAACCAAGCTGCGGCGGTTTGTGGGGTCTGCGGTGGTGTCTGCGGAGCACTTGGAGCCCTCTGTAAGTGCTAGGAGCATCCTTCAACGGAGGTACCCAGTCGGGGAGCTAGATGATCCATTACAGTGCACAGTCTGACAGGAAATGCTCAATGAGAGAGCACTTCTTGGCAGACCAGGAACCACACATGCCAAGCAGGTAAGGAAGGGAGCGGGAAAAGAATCAAGGAGGGGCAGAGGAGGGGAGGAGTAGAGAGCATGATGGAGGGGGGGCATTCTGTAGGGGCAGGGGAGGGGATAAGGAGAGAGAGCATGATGGAGGGGGGAATCCTGGAGGGGCCGGGGAGGGGAGAGAGAGAGCATGATGGAGGGGGGCATCATGGATGGGCATGGGGAGGGGAGAAGAGCATGATGGAGGGGGGCTTCATGGAGGGGCAGGGGTAATCTGTGGGTAATTCATTTGAAGTCGATTTCACAAGCCTAATAATTTCAAATATTTTGGTTAATGAAGTGGTCCACTAGGGTATCATTGCCAAGGATTCTCTTTCCCTCAGTGTTTATAGCTCTCCAGAGTAGCTTCAGTGATTATAGCTGTACAAATATAGCCGCTCCCCCCCCCATACATTAGACCAGTCTGAGTAGAACTTCTTTATTGTCACGTCTTCTTTTATACCTGGGGTCTCATCCGGAGGTTCCAAGAGTGAACAATAGAATTGCGATATCCTCGGCACCTCAGGGTCTGTTGCTGAGCAGATCATTTCATTAGTGGCCAGACACCCAGGCACCAGGGTCACAAAATACAACACTGCTTGGATTTCTATTCCCACATTCCCACACAACTGGTGTCCCCAGAAGCTTGTGTCTGAACACCCAATCTATCAAAAAAGCCCAGATCAGGTAGCCTCCGATCCGGCGCAGAGTTCCATAGCACTGGGTGGAAAGACCCGGTCACCCAAAACAGAAGCCCTTTCTATTATTATTATTATTATTATTATGATATTTATAGAGCGCCGTCAAATTCCGCAGCGCTTTACAAAGGGTATAATCTCTGGCAGTTACTCCAAGTCCAGGATACCATTGGATGCCTCAACCCCTCTTCTTTCCCGCTTCCAAAAAGCGCCTTGTTAGATGGTTTTGGAACTGAGAGAGCTATGGGAGAAGCAGGG